ATATATATATATTTATATATATATATATATATAAGGCTTTGCTTTAGGTTTTGCTTAAAACAATATTTACACTTTACTTACCAATGTAAAATAGTTATCATTTTTAAAGTGATTTGGTAAAAATCTAAATGTTTCAAGTACTTCCATGTCTTTAACCTGCAAATATATTGCAACTTTTGGAACATACAATTGTTACTTGCATAAATCATACTCTTAAAAATAGCATGCCAAACATTGTGGAGATTGACCGATTGACAGCGTTCAAACTTCATAAAATAAAATAAGATAAATATAATAAAATAAATAAGCAGAGAATCACTGTGTTTTGATGTTGTTTTAATGTTACGTTTGTTTCTTACATATTTTCTACAGAGGACCCCATGACGAAACTTGAGAAACTCCAGAGGGAGAAACTCTGTAAAGTCTGCATGGACAGTGACATTAACATTGTCTTCATTCCCTGTGGACACCTGGTCACCTGTCAGAAATGCTCAGAACCCCTGAACAAGTGTCCCATCTGCTGTGCCGCCATCATGCAGAAGATCAAGATCTACAATGCCTAAAAGACAAAGAAACCAACACTCCAAAAAAAAAAATGCTGATGCTTATTGAAAGTGGCAGAATGTAATCATTCCTAAAATTGCACATAGATGTGTAAAATTTAAGCTGTGTATATATATGTAGACATGTAGATGTACTAAGCTATGATAAAATTACAGTATATTGTTTTATTTTTTCATTAAGATTTCAAAATAACAAGCTGTACATAGATGTGTTTGGTTTTGATCAAGGCAGGGACACACTACGTAATTTAGAATACTACGTATTGCAGAATACGACATCTTGAATCCTTTTAGCTGCTTTCCCCAAATACAGTCTCAGATTCATGTTAATCACCATAGTGCCTTTATGTAGACTACTTTTTATGAACATTTGTCATTGTTTAATATTTTGACAATCATGTTTTACTCCTTATATTTGATCTAATTTATTTATTATAAAATAATTGCTTGACTTTTAATCAAGGTTAATTTAAACTTCACCAGTCCAAATTAGTTTTTCTTCTGATACTTTTGCTGTTGTTGTAATTCCTTTTAATAATTTTTTTTTCATCCATTGCAATGACAATAAAATTGGACTTCACAGTGGATCTTTTCTCTTCGGTTTCATCTGTCAGTTTTAAAATTCATAAGCTGGAAAGTGAGGCTAAAAGCTGTTATGCTTACAGCAGAACACAATTCTTGCCATAATTTCTGCCTGTTTACCAATTAATGTATTTCATTTTATACATTTCATATTGTGTTATGTTTTATGGGGTTAGTAAGTGCTTCTAAATAGCATGTGGCTGTCAGATTAGTTTTTTTTTTTAATCATTAAAAATGAGTTTATGTAAATGTATGTTATAATAGCTTGCGCATTTTTTAAAGATACATGAAATATCTGAAAGAAAGAGCTTTATAAAATGTCCCCACAAAAATAAAATCTAGAAGCAAATATTGCCCCTAATAATAAAATAGATAATTTCTGACACTAGCGTCTATTGCACTGAGCAATTTGCACCTAAAGGCCTCGACCACTAAATGTCAGTCTCGAGCTCACCTCTGCAGTCCCCCCACTGTCCACCAGGTGGCAGCTCTACACCGGCAGTTTCTCTCTGAGTGATCGGAACAACAAACCGAACGGAGCAAGCGGGTAAGAGCGTGTCCAAAACCGCCTCTGACCGCCACTTTCAAACTACATCCGTGAAATAGCCGCGAATGCGCACTTTAAAGCCACTGGAGTCCATCTAGCGCTTCAAGAAGTCCTTATAAACAATCCGGAACCGACCCTGACGATCGGGTAAGTGGTAAAATGGCGGAGAGATTTATAGAAATTAGTGGCTTTAGGGTTATTTGGCTGATGTGTTAGCCGCGCTAGCCTGATAAGCGAGGGACAGGATACGAAACGAGCCGCCGTGCTTCCGTTGCCGCATTTAAACGATAAAAACCACCTCGCCGTGCTCTTTGGGAATTCAAACAAGCGTATTATGTTTTCACGAACGAACGTAGTTTGCGTGTTTCGTGGCGTTTCATTAGTAAACCGTTAGCTAGCGGGCTAACCTTACCCTGCACAGTCAGGAACACAAATTGAGAGGCAAGATGGAGGACGAGGACGCGATGTTTTCCCCCCTTTTCCGAGATGGAAAAGCTGATGTCGCACCTATTATGCTAATTTCATCACATTGTCAATTTTAAACACACTCGCTGGCCATTTTTACGTGTTATATGTAAGCGTGTGGTAGGTGCGCGTGCATAATGACTGGAAACGAGCGGAGCCAAAATGGAGAATCCCGAAAACAGCTGTGCTGGATAGACTTCAAGATGGAGATTTTTTCCCTCTTCTGATCGTGTTTTAAAGCGTTCCGTCAGACTATTGTGCGACTTTAGCCTGTATCTGCGCCAACAAGCTCGTCGTTTAACGGTGATAATTGTGCGTTGGAAGTAGAACACCGCGAGTAATGAAGTAATATCGTGGTAAGAAGTGCGACGAGGAGGAGTTTGCGAGCGTCCGCCTGATCTCAACACTCAACTTCACGTACTAGCTCCATACATTAGCAGATCCCATTATTTCTCACTTCTCTAGACCAGTGGGTCGTGACCCAAAAATGGGTCTCACTTCTGTTTTGATAGGGTGCTAAAACCATGCTTAATGAAACTATGTAATAGTGCTTATGTAGGGCAGCAAAATAAATGTTCCGATCAACTTTTAAAAGGGGGAAAAGAGACTTCCCATATCTTTTGTTGTTGACGTCAGAGGCAGTGCGTCCAATCAAACTTTACGGTATTTTGGCGCAAATTCATCTGTCACTCGGTAAAATAACTAATACTGATCCATTATTTGCTGCATGTTATTATGAAGTTAGCATAGGATGAATGGGACGTGAAGCTAACACGTTATTTGCGTAATGCAAGATCTGTGCAGTTCATTACGATATTTTAAAGGAGTTTTGTTTACTTGGCTTAGCGTACAAAGTAGGTATTTTAGACTATTATTATTATATGATAAGAGGAAGCGGATGCTCTAGACAGAATTTTTAATGTATGTAGAGGCTAGGTCCGGTTTACCATTGTGTGTTTTATATATTATATACACAACTGATCCGTCCACACATTGGTAGCGAACAGGAACTGGAAAGCATAGGATGAAATGGTGCAGTATTAGTTTTGGGTTAAGCTGTCATTGTCATCCGTGTGTGTGTGTGTGTCACAATGGCTGTGGATAGAACCGTCATTTGGCGCCACTTTTCCTTCGAACACATTGTCGATGATGATGCCATGGGTTTTGAATTCCCGCCTTACCGCCGATTATTCTATAAAGAACATTGAGCTTTATTGCGTCTGTGCACCGCGCATAAATTCTGCTTATTGTTACTTGCTGGGTATTACATAACTGTCATCTCACGTTCTCAGCACACGCTTTGCCCTGCATTTGGTGCAGAGAGGAACATCGTATTCAGCATATCTATTTTATTCCGTGACTTTCAATGTACTCTGTGATTTATGCTATTTAAAACTTATTTGATTCGCACACATTGAGGTACTGAAAGCCACACCTCTTTATGCACATATAAGGCCGAATTCAAAGTGTTGCGGGTAATATGTCCTTAGAATACTTGCTCTCCTTGGAATGCTTTTAAGAGAGCATTTAATTCAGAATATTCGTAGAATATACATTAATCACACAAAATGATCCCATTGAAATAATGGGCAGTGTCTAAATGCGTCATTTTTACAGCGGTGGCCCGGTTCCTTCCTTTTCTCTCTGTTCATGTTTACGTCCTCAAATGTTAGCCGGCCTCTGATTGGATGCGGTGAAAAGGAGTGCGGACGTGTTACTCCCTTATATGGGCACAGAGATAGACGTGAAGCCCCGGCGCTCGGAGATGTTTCCTGGAAACGGTGGAAGCTGGATAGCCAATCAGCAAGGAAGCAGAGCGATATGACGGACTCAGAGCCACGCCCACTTGTTTTCATTCTGAACCGCGGGCACAGCTCAGAACAGCCCCTATCACTTTCATTGCGCTGTAATTCTCCACACTCGTGCTGTTGTTTTGATGTAGTGGTATTTTTCAATATTTCCACAATGTTGTCTGACTAAAGGAGTGCATTTATGATAAAGGCGCCAAACCTGCTAAATCATTGATGAAAATACTTTTGTTGTCAACACAGATGCCATCTGCTCTTTAGTGTTCTGCTGCGTTGCCTTCATCTCAAAGTGACTTGTAAGAGAGGAAGTAGCATTTCAGTAACGGCCTAATAAAGTACTTTTAGTTATATTTTTAAATCCAGTGAGGTGTAAACTGATTTATTTAGTTACTTATTTATTTAGGTCCTCTGTGCAAGGATAAATGAAAAGTAAAACTCATACATCTAATTATATTTTTGTTGTAGGATTCCTGCTGCCACATGTTAATGAAATTACAGTATTTTGGCAACTTTATTGTAAACATACGCATTTAACAAACAGAAAACAAACAAACATGCTTTTATATTCGGAATATTTAAATGCAACAAACAAACAAAAATCAACCGTATAGAATTAATATAAATTTTTCTTGCAGTTTACCTCAATGCATCTGAAACACTTTACAGTACATGCCATTTTGTGGTAAAATCTTAATTTTATAACTCATAATAACATCCAGCAAATAGTGTATCTGTATTAGCCGTTTTACTCTCTCTCACTGACACAGCTCAACCCACATCTGCCTTTTTTGGGGAAAAACATTTTATAACTCATGCCTGATGTTTAGTGAAATAATGTATACAGTGCAATTTTTTGACATAGAAAAATTTTTCAGCATGAATAAAATAACTTTTCATGTGTACCTCTCAACCACAGGCATTTCTGAATATATAGTCAAATGCCACAAATTATGCAGAATGATAGATTGAGGTGGAAGCACCACTTTACAAGATTTAGCATTTATCAGAGGAATTCTCCGTCCATTCATATTGACTGTTCACTTTATGCTTTCTTAAAGGTTTCATCCCACTTTATATTTGGTGGCCTTGTGTTACATTTAAATAAATAATTTGATACGTTGCACTTATTGTGTACTTGCATGTTTTTACATTGTACTTATAAAATACCTGCATGTAATTACATCTGTAATTAATTTCTCTAATTACATTTATAATTACACTGTGTTGAGTTGACCCTTCCCCATCCCCTACACCTTAACCCACCCTTAAACCTACATACACCACCAAACCTGTCCCTAACCTTACCCGTGTCCCACCACAATAGCAGCAAAAGTGTTTTGCAGTACAATATGAACACAATAAGTACATTGATTGTACTTATTTTTTGATGTTAGTACATAGGTTTACATTAAAAAAAGAAAAGATTCTTCCTAGCCCAGCTTAAAGGCAGAGTGAGGGATTTCTGGTAGCCAATGTTTATATTTGAAATCACCAAAACAAACACGCCCCTACCCCAAAAGGGTCTTGCCCCTATTTTGATAGCTCCGCCCCACATATACGTACGCAACCCAGGCAACGATTAGTTCTGTGAAACAAAGCAAAACCAATGTTACACCGTGTCTACGGACGTGAGCGGCGCGGCGCAACAAATCCCCGACAGAAAACTGCTGCCGGGTTCTATTTATGACGTGCTGACAATGTTGTTTGATCGCGTCCAGTGTAGGCAGACTTTAGTTGTTGTAGACACGGTGTTACTCACCTATTGAGAAGAAACAAAGCAACCTCGGCGTCCGATCGCAGGCCTCCGCTCCTTGAGTTCTCTCCAGCGCTGGAAAGCTGATCCGATATTTACACGGGTCCTACTTCTTGCCTTATCGTTCCGCAGACGTTTTCCTCTTTTGTTTTTTATCCGCCATCTCTATCTTTCTGTCGCTGGCTCGGCTAATGTCCGTCCCATGCACTGAACGCGCTCTCCTCCACATCACGAGTAGACACGCCCCTTATTGCTGATTGGCTACAAGTTTGTTTTGCGATTCGGCCCGAATCAGTTTTTAAAGCATTTTTGAAAAATCCCTCACTCTGCCTTTAAGAGGCAGATATAAATTAATTGATTGTTGGCTTGATTGTCTGAAAGTGTGTAAAGTGCAGTGGTTCTTCTGAAACCTCTCAGCCAAAGGTGTGAGTTTAGTGTGGGACTGTGTATTTGTCTGAGCAGTGGCAGATGAACAGGACTGTACAGTGAATGTGAGCTCATTGATTCTGCACTGATGCTGTATCCAGGTTTTTGTTACTGAATTTATTTCTTAAAATATTAATTCCCCTTTCTCTAATACCACCGGTCTTTGACTAGCAATAGCAGTTTGTGACTGTGATGTGAACTAAATGCCGTTGGCTATTTGCAAATATGCTATTTGATAGGTGCTGGCCCAACATCCTGTTTCATTGTGCAACAGCCATTTAGTGAGGTCTGAGTTCAGGCATATTTCACTGCAGAGCTGTGGTCCTCTCATAGGGTGATAATATCACATTGCTCTAATATCTTCCTCCTCTGCTGAACATGTTAAAGAGCTTGTCTTTTTAAGTGAGAACTAACTGGTTTAAAAAACAGTTGTAGTTCATAGAGAAATTATCATGGCTGTCCTATTATTATTAAGCACATTTGAAGTGATACTTCACCCAAAATGTACTCGCCTATTGACTCCCAAAAACTTTTTTTAATGTTATTTTATCTTCCACAGAAGAAAGCCATACAGGTTTAAACGACAAGGGAGATCGAATGATGACCGATTTTAGGGCTGCTCGATAATGACAAAAATCATAATCACGATTATCAGGGGTGCACATAGGTTTTTCGGTTTGGTTCTCATGAGAGCACCTGGAGAATTGGTTTGGTGCTCACACTGCACCAGTGTGACTCATTAAATATAGCTCTAAAAAAATAATTAATAATAGTGATAATAGTATTATTGCACTTTATTTATTTTGTATGTTTAAATAAAATAATAAGCAAAATAACAATTAGAGTGTAGTAATACTATTATATTTTAAAATAAATGTGAGTATTATATAAAAATACAATTCTTTTATAGTACACTTAAAAAATACAATGCTAATATTTTTAATTAAAAAAAAAAAAGTATTAATTTTCAGCATTTTCAAACCTAAAATCATCAAGCTTTTATTTGGGCGGGTTGCCGACAAGTAAGTATATGCGCTGCTGAGTGAAGCGCCTAAGTGAAGCGCGTCTGAATGAAATGTCACAGTTTTGCATTTTGCTCTAAAACCGGCAGTGTATAGCCTAGATTTATACTTTCAGTTTGAATGGAAATCTTATACAGTATTACAGTTAGTCAATCTAAAACGGCGATTGTACATTAACAGCTGTCAACCATTTCAGCGCGCAAATGAGCAGTCTGAACTTATTTACAAAGTGCATTTATTATTTTGGTCACGCATGCGCACCACTTATGTGCACCCCGACGATTATTTTGGTAAATATTGTAATCACGATTATTTAACACGATTATGAGTGGGCCATATGACCAAAACTTTAAAGTGCCCCTATTATGAGTTATGAAAGGTTCATATTTTGGTTTTGGGAGTCCCCAACAACAGGTTGACATGCATGCAAGGTCAAAAAACACTTTCAGTGTCTTATAATATGCATTTATTTTTTCCTTTTTTGCTCAACGACTCCCAAATGGTTCGCTCAACGATTAATTTTTCCAAACCCCTCCTTTGCGTGATGCTAAACTGCGGTGATTGGTCTGATGACCCAGTCTGTTGTGATTGGTCTACTGCGTGCAGCGCATGTCAATAACGGAACGCCCATCACCATTACTTGGCCCACAGCTCGGTGGTAAACACCCAAACAGCCATGGTATATGCGTTAGCCCAATGCAGAAACTAATTGATAAAGTACTGCAGTTTGTACACCAACGTATTGCTCTATTCTTTATCAGAACTCCAAGTAATAACAACCCAAAGTCCCCACTCCAAGGGGATAGGGATGATCACTTCCATTTGGAATTTGCCCGTGAACCGTTCGGTACACGATACGCGTACCATTACACCCCTAATTTCTAGACAATTGCGAGCAAACAGATATTGCTGTTAGCCGGTTAGACAGAGACCTACAAGCTGCACGGAGCGAACACAACACACACAACTAAATAGGTATTTTGCATGATACAGTACAGCAACAGTTTTTAAAATAATTACTCCACTTTCAGAATAAAAATTTCCTGATAATTTACTCACCCCCATGTCATCCAAGATGTTCATGTCTCTCTTTCTTCAGTCGCAAAGAATTTAAGGTTTTTGAGGAAAACATTCCAGTATTTTTCTCCATATGGTGTGGCTTCAGTGGTGCTCGATGGTTAAAGGGGTCATATGATGTTGCTAAAAATAACATTATTTTGTGTATTTGGTGTAATGAAATGTGTTTATGCGGTTTAAGGTTAAAAAAACACATTATTTTCCACATACTGTACATTATTGTTTCTCCTCTATGCCCCGCCTTTCTGAAACGCATCGATTTTTACAAAGCTCATCGGTCTGAAAAGCGAGGTTATAATGACTTATACTGCCTTTTTACGCGTTGCATCATGCCGCGTAAACATAAAAGCCTGTCTGCATTTGTGATCGGAGAAATGACAAACAACAAGCGCTACTCTACTCTGCTCAAAACTCGCGTTTCATTCGTCAGTGGCAAATTCTTTATATATAAAAAATGTACTTACAGTCTGTGAGTCAGAACAGCCGGCATTGTAGTATACTCTACCAGGATCAGGAAACAGTCCTCCATAAAATGCGCTGCACACATCTGAATATTTGGGTTGAACTGTTCTGGAACAGTGTTGTAAATACAACTTAACCACTGATTTCTTGTGGTTTACATAAGATAATATGCTGTAGTAGTTTCGCTTTTACAATGAAGTAGTTTCGCTTTCACAACGAAATTGCCTCGCCTTGAATCGCCTGCGATTTTGAACGCGATTTTGGGTAGCTTGTCAGTGATCTACGGCTCTGTGTAGTAAATGCCACTCCATCTGAAAGCACATGCTGGAGATTTACTACTAATCACCAGAAGCGGCTTTACTGACGAGATTCGCAGGATCTCCTTATTCCTTATTCGGAACAGCACAAGTTCTTTTTCACGTTTTTAAAAACATGAATACATCAACTTAAATAAATCAAGCACGTCCCATTTTGCAAAAGTCACGTTGCATGATTTTTCTGATTTGCACGTGAAATTGGGCTTTTATGGAGGAGCGAAAGTCACCGCTGGAAAGAGAGCGGAATGGGGCGCAATAATCGTTTTATCTTGATTATTGTATTTTCATAATCGTTGGAGGCAGAAATCGAAACTGTATTACAATTAATTGCACAGCCCTAGCCGATTTGTCATTTTGGGTGAACTATCCCTTTAACATCATTGTCAGAAAAGGAGTTTTGTGTTGGAGGGTAATGTTATGTAAAATATGGACTATAGCTTTCTGTGAAAGTGTGCTTTTAAATATCATTAACTTAAGAAAGGAAGAAATCATTCCGAAGGCAAAAATATCTGCTTTATATATTTACTGTTATCGTTGTTTTGAAATGGTGCTATTGATAGTTTTCACGTGACGTCACATCCTTATAGGACCGCCCACCTGGAGGGCAAAACAAAGCTTTGCTCCACTGATCGACAGTTATTTTTACGCAGATTGCATTAAGTAGTAATGTAGTAAAACGCAGATATTAAAGGGTTAGTTCACCCAAAAATGAAAATTAGCCCACAAATTACTCACCCTCAAGTCATCCTAGGTGTTTATGACTTTCTTCTTTCAGACGAATCCAGTCGGACTTATATTAAAAATTGTCTTTGATCTTTCAAGCTGTTTAATGCCACTCAGCGGGTGTTGCATGCATATCATTTTTGGGTGAACTAACCCTTTAAAAAGCGAAATTCAGTAAACACCTTATTGATGATGTATATTTTGTACAGGCAAGCAGATGAAC